CTTGTGACCCTTTTAGCAATGTAAAGGTTGAATAGCTGACGCATGGGCACTGCTGCTGTTTTTGATCAATGCCCATATTTTTGTGTGACCTCCAACCTTGAAATGTCTGATTACTGCTGCTATAAGGTTTGTTCGCACTCTTGAGTCCTGAAGTCTTGAGTAAGCTGATTTCAGGCAGAGCTGCTGGTGTTTTTTGTTTTTTCCCCCCCCCCAGGATTAGGGATGACGGTGCAGTTTCACATCAGCATCTTTCAGTTCCTTTCCTGATCAGGTGCTGCTGAAAAATCATCTGTTTCTTTTCACAGTAACTGATCAAACCGGGTCATTCTCATCTAGTCGTAAGCTTTATCCGTCACCTTTATTGACTCATTATAATTGAGGGATTGTAAAGCTGAGCTGGTATCTGTAAAAACACTTTGGCCGCTGTGACCGTGTCATTATAAATTTGACATAAACTCCAGTACAAATTCAATGTAATATTAATACTTTTACAGTATAAACCAAATCCAGAAAATCCCATGAAGGCTTTGTAAAATATAAGTGAAATATAATTTAAAAATAGAATGAAATGATTTGCAAATCTCATAAATCTCCTGGAGTGATTCATAATAAAATACAGAAAAGAATTATACAAATCTAAACTGGTAAAATGTACTATTTAAAAACAAAATGAGCTCATTCGTTTTACAGTACTGGAGAATCTTTACCTTGACAGTATAAAGTGCCATGAGGAGACAATTGTGATTCATAAATAACATTTCCTGGAATAGTTCCTGTGCAGGTATAGTGACCGTTAGGAGGAAATCACGGGACATTACCTGGAATCAAATTATGACTTTTTGTTTTTCTGAGCTTAAAAAATATATATTTTTGTTTTAGCTTAACAGATTTTTTTTTTAATGCTTTAGGAAATAAAACTTTCTGTCTTGCAAAGGGTAATACAAGATACTTGATATTACCCTAATGGCTGTTTGCTAATCTCAAAGCTATCAATAGTTAGCATAACATCAAAAAAAGTTTGGGTGGGAAAATTTTCCTGCAAAACTTCCTGCACAGATACAGTGATTCTTGGGGGAGAATGTTTTTCTTTTCAACCCATTAACATGAGAGACCTGGTATCACTTCCATGTCTGTTTGCTAATTACAAGTAGTTGGCATAGCAACTGCCGACAGCTTTCCCCCCATAAAACAAGATAGCTTTCTGGTGGGAAAACGCTCCCTCTGATGTCTCTGCCAGTTACAAAAGTATCCACATATGGAATGCTAACTGCTGACAGCTGTAAAGCGAAATATTTTGAGAGTAGGAAATTGTTCTTGCACAGGTAGTGATTATTAAAAGGAAGTAATAACATTACCTAGAATCAAATTATATAATCTAATCATTGATGAATCCAGGTGATAATGGAAGAAATGATAGTTTAATATTTGACAAATTTAGTTTTTGTATATATAGTTTTTTGTATATAAATATACACTTAAAATTATTGAAACCTATTCCGTTTCGTTGTGTACCAGCTATTCTGGAAATGAAGCTGTAACTGTAATAAAGGTGTTCAGTGTATAGGTGGATATAGAGTTAAACACCTGATTACTGACTTGTAAAATTGAGCAATGTGAACCTCTAACACTTGCCTTTTTTTATCAGCTGTAGGAGCAGGCACTGATGATTTCTTTGCAGATAGAAGAAAAGTTTCATTTCTTTCCTGAAAACTTTCTTCAAATAGGTGAACACAGGGTTTGAATAAAACACACCTGTTGTTTAAGGCGTTTTCAAGGAGATAATATTTATGCTGTGCACACTTATCTGGAGACCTAGTTCTTGTCTGTAGACATTGGACTTTCACTAAGGTCAGAGGCCGGTTCTCTCCTAATTGTACAGTGATTACGTATAATGGTACCGAATAGAGAAAGTAATTTGACAGTAAAGATAAAAAAAACTAAACAAAACACGTTCACATATTACAGTTTAGGCTGGTTCTCAACTCACTGAACGCCCTGTCAGCTGGGATCCTGCACTAACATGACTCCTCATGTTCAAATCTATTAACATAAACCCATGTTAAACTGGATCAGACTACTTTTGTTGTTTCATTTAGCTTATCATTGACTCAATCTCTCAAAAATTCCAAAACATTTCTGGATTTGTCTGGAACCATTAGCTACTTATATTTTCAAAATGTAAAAATTTACCAATGTAGCCATTGTTTCAGTCTTAGGAGGCATTAGAGAATTTTTCATTAGAGAATTTGAATCAAAGGATACATTTCAAGGGAATTTACAACTTTTTCGTAGCTTTGTTTCAAGTAAAATCAGAGAGCTTGGATAACTCAAAGATGATCCATGCTGCTTTAGTGGTCGAATGACAACTGCAGCTCTGCATAATTCTAGAAAATCTGCTCTCATCCCATCATCATGAAAAGCACAGGGTGTCAGTGGTGGACCTGCCAGTGCTGGTATGATATGGCAAATGGGTTTCAGGCTGCACAGTGCCAAGCAGCGAGGACAGGACGCGCTACAGGACGCTGAGTCATGAGTCCACCCTCATTAAAGTTGAAGCTCGCTAATGTGCCTGAGCCTCAAATGCTCATTTGTTGCTCATGTTGTGCAAATCCAGCTCACTCTTTTGTGTTGAAGTTCAGGTCACCTGGCTCAGTTTAGCACCGGCTGCCTGGAGAAAAAGGAAATTAGTTGCTAACTCTGCTGCGGTATGTGACCTCACACAGTGGCAGTCAAGGCCAAGACTGGCACACACACAAACACGACTTTACAGAGAAGTGATTGTAAAGACTTTCTTTATTTAAGACATATCATGCACTACAACCAATACAAACCTCCTGATATTCAGTGGAGTGTGATTATTACACAAAAAGGATTTCTTAATGATTTGGTGCTTTTATTCTATCAAACTACAATAACACTGATATATAGAGTTTTATTTATATGTATATGTTTGTAGAAAGAGATGAAAGCAATAAAATACAGATGTGCTCAAATGAAAAGGAACTACACCTTACAGAAAAAAGAATCACAAAGTGTTGACACTACATATATAAAAATGTAAAAAAAAAAGTTTTCAAACAGCACAACAACAGTATACACTCTGATTTTCTGTTTTCCAATTAAGTTTGTATCGACTCACAGCTAAATATATTTACATTAGAAAATATAGCATTCATGACCATGTGGGATATTCCTGAATCAGCAGACCTGTTCTGAGAGCTGCTTTTGTTCCCGTGCGCAGACTGAATGTGAAGCAGGTGGAACATGAAAATAAAGCTCCTCCATCCTGTTTCACGGGCCCTACAAAATGGCCCTCTGTTCTCCCACACCTGGTGCGGTTAACTCGCCTTCCAACCCAAACACGTCTACCCTCCGCGGCTGGAATTGTGGTTAACCTTTTCATCTGCGAGCACCGGCCAGTGTGGCGAGTCTGGTTTCCATTAAGGCGTGTGAAATTTCGGAGGTTCAGAGGTGGAAAGGATACAGGTAAAAATGCAAGGTAAGCAGACAACATGTTATTCCACTTACAACTGAAGGGTTGACTCCATGGGGAACAAAATAGACCTTTGGGGCTTTCAATGCTACGCTCTTTATATAGATATTTCTGTATTATAGTGATTCTGTAAAGGTCTGGAAACATTCATTAAAAAATTAAACTTTTAAATTTGTTTAATCACTTCATGGCAAAAACGGCATGCAGAAGCGCCAAAAATCCCTAAATGGGTACGTTTTCAATCCCGGCTGAATAAAAGTTGAGGGTTTTAGTGCCATAAAGTGATTTCAGATAAGACCTGCTGACTCAGATCCCTGAGTAGCTTTTTGAGGAAACGTGGGAGCGCCTGAGGTAAACCGAGGCTGTTTTTCACAGGAACTCGGGTAGGTTATTTTTCCCTCATGACCATGTGGTAGTAGTGCTGGGTGTTGCAATATGTGCCGTAGTACCCTCCCGCCAAACAACGACATCTGAAGAGAGAACGCATTACTGTGCATGGTGCGGAGGGTTTCGGGTGAAGTCGGGACTTCAGATTTGTGCAAAATCATATTGAACTAATGCCTGATCACGCATTAGGTGTAAAGACAGAAGTCAATCACGTAAAGTGCCTGAGTTATAGACAATCACTGGAAAAAAATCACTCCAGAGAACTCAAAAGACTAAGATGTTCATATGAATCCATGCTAGAGCCGTTCAAGTTTTAAAAAAAAACAAAACTTGTGGAGGTAAGGGTGGTATTCTGAGGAAAAAATGTAAAAAGAAATTTGGAAAGAAACTTGGATATATCTTCTTTTTATTAAAGTTGTAAATCTATACAACGCTGTATATCTTAATATTCTGTAAGAGTTTTAATTTCTCATTAATTTTAGCTTAAAAACATTATAATCAGAATCATTACGACTTTTTCCAGATTTTAAATTTTTTCCAGATCATAAATTTACAACTTCTTTAATTAAGAGAACTAAACTAAACACATTCGAGTCCAATTGTAATCTTCATAAATGTATGACTAAATTCTCAAAAAATATATTTTTCTAGTACACACAATAAATTTTTTTTTATTTTAGAGAATATAAAGTATTTTTTCTTTAATGTCAAAATACTGTTTTTTTTTCTGATAAATTTGCAATTTTAAGAGTTTCTTCTCACAAATTTAAAATGTAAATTTTAGAGACTAAAGAGGTAGTTTTGTAATCTCAAGGAATACCTAAATTTCTTTGACTAATTTATTACTTAATCTCAGGAAATCTTGACTTTTCTTCTGCATTTGTGATTATGCAGAAGATTATTATGCAGTTGTAATTTTTTCACATATATTTATGACCTCTTTTTTTCTAGACAACTTTCTCAAAAATTGTATTTCCCATAAATTTACAACTTTTTTTTTCTCTCTTTTCCTCGTAAATGATGTCCGTTTTCTGGCACTTTTGTGTTTTTGTATATTCATATTTGTTTTAGTGTGATTTTACAGCTTTTTAGTCTTGGAGTTTCTTTCCACAAAAATTCACCACAATCCTAGAACGGCCCTAACACATCTTCATATAATTGTAAACTACCAGAAAAAAAAGATTAGATACAATCTACAAGTGGGTTCAGATACAGTAAGATTTTCACTGGATGCAAAATATTGTGTATATTTGGAATGCTTAGACAGCCAAAACTGGTTTCCCTCACTTCCTTTTAAGCCATGTATGGACTTTAACTTTGGTAACTGCGAGCTATTGATAAAGGTGCATAGGATGTTTGTGTTTCATATGGCACAACTGCAAGCACACAACACAATACTGATGATACAGTCATTACAAAAACCACCGCCTGCATTTCCTGAATAAACACAGCTAAATGCTCAACACCACACATTAAAGAGACAAGATCCCAGTTTTCTGTTTGGTTAAATAAAAAGTATCCACAACCTGCTCATCACACACACACATATATATATATATGTAAGCCAGCACAGAAAGAAGTCTATGAGAGAACAGTGAGCGGATGCAGCGACAGCACCAACGAACCCAAACTGAGAGGCAACCCGAGTGGCGTCCTGACTGTCAGGATCTCAGCTTCCTCTATGAGATTTCTCTCTCATTCTGCCCTTTTTTTGCTGAAGCACCTTTTAGACATCTTTACAGCTACATGCGGGCTGTTAGGTGGAGAGGATTTTACACTGCACTGTCCATGATTTCTCCAACAGCACCCAGAAGCGATGGACCCCTGTTGGACAGCGCATGCATGTGTTAAGGAGCGTGGATCCATAGGTGTATGGCTGAGGCGCTCACCTGACTCCCAGACTGAAAACGCTACAGAAACCCCTGCATTATCTAAACTTTCACTACTTTCTAACACTTTCTACTCCTCTGCTACTGCTAATGGTTAATGGCTACCGATAGCATGTTGTCTACGCTTTACGTTAGCACTCTGCCAGCTACAAGCTAAGATGTTAGTGAGATAAATAAGATGCAGGGCTAGTGTAAGGTTTGAGATGTATGTACCCAGGACAGAGTCTCTTTAATGGGATTAGACGGTGGTAGGAAGTGAAGGATTGTCAACTGCCTCCACCTTCTGCTCCGGCGAGCAGCAGAGGAAGAGGCGGTTGCCCAGGCTCCTGAAGGCAAACCGAAAGTACATCATATGGCCCATGGCCACAAAGGAGACAGAGATGATGACCAGAAGGCCAAAGGCCTCTGGGTTTGGGGCCAGAATCACCATGATGAAGTGCAGAAGGTCTAAGAGGTAATTCATGGAATTCTGGACGCCGTTGATCACACCTCGCTCTGACTCGATCACATTCTCCTGGATGAGCTGGGTCACTGTCAGGTCAAAAGACCACAGACCTGCAGGGCAGAGGCAAAGATCAACAGTCAGCTCTAATAATCTTTTTATATCCATAATAAAACAGCTTCAGTACTCAACAGTAGCTCTACTAGGAATAATGAGGCAATATTACTGGCATCAAAGGTTGCAGATACTGCAGAGGTCCTGTGGGACATTCTTACAAGTTATATAACAGTCCAACTTGTCAAGCTGCTTGAGTCACCTGTCTGGAAGTGATAATTTTGAAAATTTGCTATCTGGTCAGAGGAAATGAACATGCCAATAAAGCATGAGCAGAAGTTCCTGAACACTCCAATTTCCTAACGAATAAAATAAACACACCTAAGAAAATGGAAATCAGCACTTTGGAGTGCGTGGACCTTTTTTATTACCAGTGTTATGACTATAATGTGCAGTGAGACCTTCCCTGGAGTCCACTTAATAACTGCTTCTGGCCTACACTGATCATCTCCAGCAGGTGTTTTTATAGAAATTTTGTTTGGAAGACCTATCAAACAACAGTATGACCGACCCTGTTGTTGCACGACTTGAAATACAATAGTGTAGCATAAAAGTACAGTCGAAATAAGAGAGAGATGCAAGTCAAAACTAACAATGTTTTTTTAAGCCTTTAAAATTCTCCAACCGTCCACTGACTGCTGATTTCAGACGTATTCTTCTCCATCTGGACTCGGCCACTAATAGCTGGCGTACTAATCCATTTTGGTAAATCTCTGCACCGCATCTAAAATACAGCAAGTATTCCCAGATTGGGAAAAAAAATAAACTACTTCACTCACCAACTCTAGCAGCAATTACGCCAGCAAACAGCAGACTAACAGACATGTAGGACTGCATAGGTGGCAGCTCTTGGGTTGGTGCGGCAGTAGTAGGCATAGTGATGTTTCCACCGGTCAGGCTGTGGACAGCTTCAGGCAGGGTCTTCTCTCCAATCAGATGGGTGTAGAGGTCCTGGAAGGGTGAGACGCTGAGGTCGAAGGGGCTTCCAGGAGCGAAGACTGAGATGACACACAGTATGAGGCAGGAGAGCTGGGCCATGCCGGAGATGAAGCCAGTGCGGATCAGGCCACACTTCTTGCGAACCCAAGTGAAGGCGACGGTGCCGCAGATGCCCGAGATGGCCGAGGCTCCCATCAGCAGACTGAGCACCGAGCCATTGAGGCCCTGTGTGTAGGCGTAGCCTGTGGTGATGCAGTCAAAGCCCAGCACCGTCATGTAAAGAAAGGCCAGTGAAAGGCCGGCGAAGAAGATGTTCTGGTTGTAGTAGGCCACCCAGCCGGCCTTGAAGGTGCGCACGGGTTCAGCCATCTGGTAGCAACAGCTGCGCTGTTTGGGAGAGTCAGACTTGGCAACAACGGAGGTTTCGTTCATAAGTGGCTGAGATGACTCCTCGGGACTCTGGCCATTCTCCAAATCTGTCAAAGGGCAGAATAATGGAGGTTCTCGATTACCAAATCTAAAACACAGTCAGTTTTATTCCCCAACGATACAAACAGATAATGCTGCACTTACCTTTTGTAGGGCTGAGCTGTTTGAGCTCCTGCTGCTGCTCCTTCTGTCCAGCTTTCACAGCCAGCGCGGGCGTCTTCTGGTAGACCTTCCACAGCAGTGCGTACTCCACACACATGGAGCACAGGTTCCAGCCAGAGATGAAGCCACAGCCAACGAAATGAGAGCCAAAGGCCATAATCTGGCCCACTAACATGGGAGCCAGGATGTTGGTCAGCTGGTCAATAATCCGCACTGTGGCATTCATATCTGTTTGACAAGGGAGTGGAAGTAGAAGCTAGTTAGTTTAACAGCTAATTTAACACATTGACATAAAAAAGCTGATTATGGTCTTAAAATTCATGTTTACAGTAATATAAACTAAGAACTAGCACAAGCGGATTGATACGGGTCAACCAGTTCAAAGTGTTGTGCACCATGTGACCAAATCTTTCTAGCAGCTTGTCACAATCAATGGAAAACTGCAGTGACATAAAAAAAAAGAAAAAGAAATGTGAGCGAGTCAGCATCCGGGGTTCAAAGTCCTCCCAGCTGAACATATGACCTGATAACAGATCATATGAGGCCTACATCTGAAGATAAGCCACCAGTCGATAGCAAACACCTACCTGCCAACTTGCTGCTGTCCTGACCTGCTACAACAACCACCCAGTCTCTCTGGATGGTAATGGACATGGCCGTGCTGGCAAGGTTGGCAATGTTGGCGATGGTGATGACCAGGATGTAGCAAGTCGTCTGAAAATGATAAAAAAAATGTAACAGTAGTTTTATATTTGGACTGACTTTGTGTGATAAAATGACAAGGCTGTTCCCCAAATACTCCCATGAAACATGAAAAACTAAGAATCGGATAGATCTAACTCCCTCATGTCATCGAATTCCATTGTAGTCCAAAAACCTCAGTATTAAGCCACAAAGCTACACAGTTCAGTCCTTTTCGATGAACACATATTTGAGTTATGTTGATTTACACAATCTCCTCAAGACCAACAAACTCAGAGGAAAAAAGGAGACAATTTAGGTTCAACTGGAGCGGCTATCCTTGAACCGAACTGGTGGCCTATGTCACCAGCTATCAGTTACCTGTAAAACAATCTTGAGATCCCTTCCTAGGCAACTGAGCTGCCATTCACACCTCCACCACTGTAACCTTAATGACTCACAAACGTCCTCACACGTCTGGGTGTGTCTTGACAATTTCCAAGATCACAGCCCTATAAGAAGAAAAACACCTGCAACTCCTCAGCCTTTCAGATGACATGAAACACCTAAAAGGAGTCCAGCTGCCTTCGACTAAAGCATGATTATTTTATATATTCTAAAATAATATATTATTATTTTAGATTATGATTTTTATTTAACGTTTAACATTTACAAGGTCATCCATAAACCCATCAAGAATTCAGGTTCGAGTTCAGGTTAACATCTTTTTTGGAACACCCAAAAAGAAAAGCCTGCAGTCCCAAGCTTGATGTGTACCTCGTGGCATGTTCTGGTTTATGAAAATCTGCCTATTTAGCATGTGGTTGAATCTAAATCCAATACGGGGTTTGGTTGGAGTGTCAGAGAAAGTACACATGAGTCCACTGTCGCTTTTTAGAGGATAGCTAGAGCCAGCTTTAGCACTGATTCTCCAACTCTTTGGATTTCCAATGAAAGAATTAACACCATTAACTTAATTTCTCGATCTGTTGGACAGCGCTGTCTTAAGCTTTATTTTACCTGTCATCCCTTTAAATCACTGAATTTCACCGATTTTTTTCTGGGCTATAGTCCCCTTTTCCATGTTTCCCATTTAAAATACTGGGACAAAATCTCCCATTAGAAGAGACATTTATGTTTCATCACTGATGGATCTGTATTGATCCATACTGATTTGACCTTTGACTTAAAAAGGAGTTGTTTCTAGGGTGGAGGAGGGGTCCAAAGTAGTCATTCCTGTTCCAGTACAGCTGCACAGTTTAGCCAAGGGAACAGATAAATATATTTTTAAAAAAGATTCAAAATGCATGTTTTTATTTATCTAGCTTGCCTAATTTTTGTGCCTTTGTGAAATTTTATCACAGGGTTATACTCTACATTTTGCAGTCATTTATGGTCATGTTTGTTTCTGCTGTGACGGTTTAAGGGGGGAGGGGCAGTAGGAAATATGAAACGGGAGAACAAAAGATAGAGGCTAGAGCTGACTGAAGGGCAGAAAAAGCTTCCCAGCAAGTGTTCAATCATCTAAAAACATACTGAATAGACAACAACTGACCCCAAATGTCTAAGTCTGATGACAGGGAAGCTAGTCCTGACTAACCAGGGGGGGGGGCATCACCCAGACCCACTAAGCAGTCTACCAAGGGGAAACACCACCAGAGTAATTATTAAAGATACGATGAGGCTAAACATAAATTACGTAAGGTTGTGCACTCCGCTACAATCTGCAGTAAATGCCAAAACTTACAAAAACAAACACTAGAAAAATGTCAATGTTGGCTACACCACAGTGGATAATAGAGAGACGGCAGTGTGAGCTGAGTGTCAATTGAGAGTATGAAGCCCAACAAGCTCAGATGGAATCTGTCACAGTGATGAACATCTTCAGGAACTTGTCTTCAAAAAGTGGGTCATTTTAACTGGCTGCAAAGCATGGACCAGATCCCTCAACAGAAGGTGTCAAGGGTAAAGGGAACATGAGTTTCTCAACTTTTTCTAACTCTCAAAATCCGACCTGATTAGCTCTTTAAGAATGAAATCAAATGTCAACCGTTCCCACTACGTGTCAAATCAATAACTTCCTGTTGAAAAAAAAAATCTATATCATTAGTTAAAATTAAAAATTTCAGCAGAAACTGCACATTTTTCTGAAGCAGACTCTGTTTGTGGGTCTGTGCATGCATTTTCACACAGCTGCTCTGGTCAGTATCGAAACAATAAAAAAAACAGAAATGCTTCAGCAGGCCCAGCCACATTTCTCTCTGTGTCATGTGACTGGCCTTGAACAACCTGCTGACTGCACAGCGTTCAGCAAGACACTAAATCTCCTGTTTCACCAGTCTCTCACCACCTCCACCAGCACTCCGACAACAGCCAGCCCTCTGAACTCTCTGACCGCTAGAGAAATAGCCCCATTTTCCCACAGATACTGCAAACACAAAAGAACAACGCTGGAGGCCTTCTGTGTTTCAACCCGACACCCAAACCCGTCTCCTGTGATGAACGGAAACTTGAACAGTTTGCAGTTCTGGATCTCTGGATCGCGGAGATCAAAATATTGACAGTGAGGGAGCTCCTGTTTAGTCACATAGCTCAACAAGTGTAAAAAAGAAATAACTGAAACACTTTCCTGGTCCCCAGTAGCTTTCCTGTCGTAGTATGTATGTACTCGTATGTTAAATCTACTGCAGGCTTGAGAATCTACTTGTTTTCTAACCCCCTTTACTCAAGATTCAAGATTCGTCTTGAAGTGAAATCAAACTTTAGAGAAAGTCATTGCTGACTTTCTCCTGGAAGTGTTTCACTTTTTAACTGTAATCCTTCACATCTGCATTCAGGGAGAAAAACTGAAGTCAGGTACAGATTTAGCTACAGAGAAGTTTATGTGGACACTCTTGGATCAATGCATTAATAAATAAATAAATCTGAGTAATCCTCCACATGACTCCTTCAGAATCAGCTAATTATTTCAATCTTAGTTTATTTAATTGATCCAAAGCAAACCTTTACCGGCACACTTTGAATGTTTTCAGAGTTGCTGAACCTGTATTCAAAATTTTTGATTTTTCCAATATTTTGAGCCCTCATACCTTCATAATCAAACGAGATATACATCTGAAATTTTCAGGGCTGAAAAACTCTGTTAAAACTAAAAATAAGTCAACTTCACAGCCACTCCAAGTGTCACAATCTAAGGAAAAAAATCTCATTTTTGTACAGTACTATGAAGGTGATTTACGTCTTAACGTGCCATGGTAACCTGCTCCAGAGCACGTTAAGTTTCAGATGAAAACCAACAGGTATGAAATTAACTCCTACTGACCAATCTTCAGAAAACAGCATCACCATTCCTAAAAGATTTCATTACGAGGAGAATAGGAGCATTTTAATGTCTTTGCGTTTCCCTGATAAATATAGATCTTTTGACGCAACTTTATTTCATTTTGTTTTTTTTATCTGTTGGCAATCAAAACTCTACAACAATTTTATTTTACTTTAATCGTTAACATTTGATCCTAACCAGGACACCTCCACTTTAATTGCTGACATCATATCTGATGTCAGCAATTAAAGTGTACTGCTCTGTACACTAAAGATCAGAATAATGGTTTTCTGCATTAACTGTTTCTTTTTAACAACAATGTTGTGTTTTGCTGTTATATTTAAAAAAAAATGTTTTTTAGAGATTTGTGATCACCATTTGATCACAATGTGATAATGTCTCTGGCTGGAGTAGGTGACACTCATAGGGATTGCTTTCTCTGGACGAGTCATATGATCATGTGAACGTGCAGGTCTGAGGTGATAACCAGCTTTGTATGATAAACTCTTTCGTAGTACAAGGTGCTGGATTTGCTATGAAACACGTAGCAGCTTATCACCAAAGCTTATCAGCTTTCGCTTCTTCAAGTTACATCCTGAAGAAGACAAAAGCTGCTACGTGATGGTGTAATTTACAAGTACTTCAGTTGTGTAAAATAAAGGCCTTAAAACCCCTTAGCAGTCGGACGTACCGCCCACGGGACATTGGATGGTTTAGGGGACTAATTGGACTGCTAAGGGGTTAATTAATTTTTCAGACCTACCTTGTTCCCTTACACGAGCACCAATGGTTTAACGGACATGAGTAGTGCTACCTGATCCAGCTACAGTTTTTAACATAACTTTAATGTGAATATCATTGGTACTTATAAGAGTTATGAGGGATTAGAAATTTGGGATAAAACTCATTTAACAGAGTGAAAACGGACCCACTCCTGTGTACTCTGAGGGCCTAGAAAATATTCATAGTATGAATGTAAGGTTCCCAAGGTTCACTGAACTATGGGAACCTTTCTCGGATTTGACTGATTTTATTCAGAATAAACTTCATGTAAACTCAGTTCAAGTGCCATGTTTTGTCCAACTGCCTCAAGAGCGGCGTTATTTAATTTAAGGAGGAACTGATGACAATAGAAAGAGTTTTGCAAATATGAATACTGCTATGTCTTGAAATTTTAACTTGCTTTGGTGTTAACTGTTGGGTCTTTCCCTTGAAATCATGAGCAGAGAGAAAGAGGAAACTTAAATGAGGAATTATTGATTTCTTATTTATTATAAAAACAGAAGTTCAGTCTGTTAGAGAGAAATTTGTACTCATCAGCAGTCATGTGTACACCAGATTAGATTTGAAAGAAAAAAAGTTTAAATATCTAAATAATTGATTGGTGTACTACAAACTAATTATGTGTATTACTCATTTTCACTTTCACATTTTACTGTTTTTCCGCTGTTAACTGTGTTTGAATTATTTGATATATTGAAGTGAATAGGTGCTTTTAGTTTGCATTAGAATAAATTATCTGATAGGCCTTTTATTTTTTAATTTTCTATTTAATTCTTTTTTTTTTTTACTATTTTTGATGCTTCAGTAAGTATCTGTGGGAGTCCACTTCAGGCTGTGTCCTGATAGTCGCTTGATAAGACAGGTTACACCCACAAATATTTTAGAAACAGGCTCTTTCTACTGCTTTAAAAAAAACAATACTCAAGTGTAAATTCTACAGATTTTGTTCATCGATTTGCTTATAATAAGTTTATGATTTCAAGATGATTAACTTGAGTTCAAATGAACATTAAAAAAAATTCTAGTGGAGCTGTTGCAATCCTCTGTGGATAAGCTGTGCTCACTCCATAAATCACACTGACAGGGGAACTCGCATCAGTGAGTGAAAGTAGGAACGTTTCAACCTCAGCTTAAAGAAAGGAGGTAAAAATGCTTTCAGTGCAAATCCCCACCAAAACGGGTTGAAACAGGACAGGGGATCTTACCAGAATCCATCCATTGTAGAGCTCCGTGAGCTGGTCTTTGAACTGGAAAACAAGCATGAGGAGGACCCCGCACGCGATGACACAACTGTTCTGGACCAGCAGCGAAGTCTGGGCCACTGTGGAAAGACCACGACAGGCATTAGGGACAGAGATCTGATCAGACACAACACATTCATTATGGTGCAAAGAAGCTCATTTCATGTCTTTGCCAAATTCCTCTGTGTAATTATTTTCCAGTTTAACTGTTAAATGTCTGTGTTCAAGGGAATTCATGTTCACAGTCAAACACCTGGTTTTACATCCCAGACTGCAGTAACTATTTACAGTTTTCTTTGTCCTTGGCTGACGGTGTTGACTCAGGCCAAGCTACAGGTCCTGACCCTTATATGGGCCAAATGTCAGAGGTGTTGTGACATCTGACCAGCAAAAAGAACTGCCAGAAACCCAATTCAAGCCCACCAAACTGAGCCAAAAAGTGCCACACATAACCCAGATTAAACTTACCTTTAAGCCTGGGGTTTTTGTCCACCCAGTCCCCGATGATGGCTCCCAGCAGGAGCACCGAGCCAGCCACCACCAGCCCATACACGGCAGTGAGCAGCAGGCTGTTCCCGTACAGCTCCACCAGGAAAACTGCCACAGCGAAGTTCCACATCCGGTCACCCTGAGGAATTTAAATTCAGATATTCAGATATTTAAAGCTGTTTGTATATAGAGCACTGTGTGGCTAGCTGCAGGTGCAAAAATAAGTGAGTTTGCACAGTTGTAATGACATATAAAGCAGCAATAACAAAACTAATAACGCATTAGGTTTGATTTAACACTGGATGGCCACAAATAAATATAGTCATCAAGGTGAACATGCATACATTTACTGTGTGATGTCAGTTAGATGGACATGAGCATGGTTATAATACAATGCTGGTTATAAACAGTGTGTGCTCACCCATGTTGACAGAGCGTGGCCCATGTAGATGAGAAATTTGGCCGAGGTGAAGAAGTCTCGGGTGGATTCTGTGGAGAAAAAATGTTACAGCTGGTGTTCGATACCCATCTGTGACACTCAGGCTCCTCTCCTGGGAAATATTCAGTAATTTCTCCTGCAACAGAAAAACAACTCACCCATGCACGTCTTTTTAGTTCCAGAGTTATCCATTTTAAAGCTCTTCAGATAGAAACAACCGGCTTGATATGTCTAATATATATTCTCTCTTTTCTGCTAGATCCCCTTTTGTAATGCAAAAGGAGGTCGACTCCGACTACCTCTGCACCTAACTGACACAATAACCGGAAAAAACAAAAGAAGACACGGCGTTTCTCCCCTTTTCTCCTCTCCAAACTTAGCTATCACTGTAGCTGAAGTTGGAAAGAAATGATTTTATAGCCCGAAAGGCCGGGTGGGTCGCAGGGACACGAAACCGGGAGACGAGCTCCTGTCAGCTGGGCTCCTGTGGACTGTCTGCTCGGCTCTGCTCTCCGCAGCTGCTGCTGCTCTGTTTACGACCCGCCTCGAATATACCCCGCGCGGTCACGTGACTGCCCTTTCTTTACCCCTGTGTCAAAAACAGACGCGGTCCTGCCTACTTAAAGAAAAAAAAGAAGAAAAAGAAGAAAAAAAAAAGCACTATAGGAGCAGAAAATGGTGTCATTGTTACCTTGTTACAGTTAAACCCTCCGGTTCCTCTCACAAAGGTGAGCTTCGGTTTTAAATGCTCCCCTCCTCCACTTGTTTACCTCCTAGCAACATGCATGATTATTAACTATTATTATTATTATTATTATTATTATTATTATTATTATTATTAT